TTCTTGCATATCGAATCAACTGAGAGATATACACTCCATATGCAGGTGATAAAGGTATATTGCTGCATAAGTAAGGGAAGTTGACGATTGAAAAGTTAAAGTCATCACCTTTATCATAAAGTTTTGTTGTGTTAGATAACAATTTTAAATATCTTTTTCTTGTAAAATATCCAAATATGAAACAGATGTGTCAGACTCTGTGGTATCTTTTATTTCAAGCTAACTGGGATATATCGTGTACCATTGTGTATACCTCATGTACCATTGTATGGTTTGAGATTAATAAACAAACAAACAATCAAGGGAAGGGAAGATAATTAAGAAAAAGAGGAAAAAAAAGGAAAAAATGTCGACATATCAATGGAAATAACTATTGTTAATTGATAATACGTCGTCGATATTTCTTAATGTCGAGTTGAAGGCCACAGCAAGAGATTTCTTTTCCTCATGTATAAGATTTTGAATAAATTCTGCTTTATATGAATACAAAAATAGATCTTCTAACAACAGGGCGCAATTGGTACCCATGGGAATTCCAACAGATTGTGGGAAGACCTGGTCTCCAAAAACCACATAGATATTGAAATTAAAGCATCTTTTTAATATCAACTTCAGAGTAGGTATATACAATCAGAATCGTTTAACAAAATAATTTTGCAAATGACCAATGACAATTAATTAATGTAAGTAAATTTACGAGTTCCATTTTTATTGAAAAAGCAGCTGTCAATGATGTCAGAAAAGCCTTGACTTTTATTTATTATGGAAAATGGTTATATACAGAGTTGAAAAGTTTTAATATTATTGATTTTGGTAAAATATTTTGTGATTTCAAATTTTCCCAAAGCTCCCTACAATTTTTGTTTACAGAGAATCCCCTGAGACAATTTAAAAGTGTCTTTATACTCTTTATTCTTCATAACGAATGAATAATTCGTTATTTTGAAGTACATGTATATGTATATAAAAAGTAGCTTCTTCACAGAATGAAATCACTATATAAATGTTCATTATATATATACATATTCACCTGAACGTAACGTAACAAAAAATAAATACATAAGATGTGATACTTTGTTTAAAAAAGAATTACGGTTTTGAATACTTTATGAATAACAGAAAATAATATGGAATTTCATTGGGATTTCGTTGGAATATAGAGCTGATATGGTAAATAATGAATCCGGAATCATAATATTTTTATAATGTTACAAATCCTGACCATTACATGATATAATTGTCCTACAATTTGTTTTATACTATATCATGTGTAAACTAAATTTCTTTGTAAAAACATCAGAATGTTTTTTGTAAATTTCGTACTGAACTTTGATTTGCTGTATCAATATGTACAGTAGATATCGTATTTTTATAAAGATTCCGTCAGAGAGACAATATAAGAAAAAGGGCACCTGTTTCTATCATATGTTATACGATGCGTAAGAATTGTGAGCAGGCCAAATTTTATCGTACTTTATTGATACTTGTTAGAGCTTACTTAGCTTCACAGCCTTGTGTGACCTACTTTGTCATACAGCGATGTTTGATTCGCATGTATGTGAAACATTTCGGACTGAAGGTCTGACAACGAGAACATCTCTTTTTTGTATCTCTTCGTAATATACGAAACGTAGTTATTATTCTCATTATCTTGTGATTTCTAAACTATTTTCAAAATGTTTAAAAATATATATATGCACCATAAAATTTTGAGAGCAATTTAAGTGACTTCCAATATGATTACAAAGGAAATACCACACTATGAAATCTGAAAACAAATGCCTGGTAATATACCTCAATGTTTGGGAGGAAACTTTTATTTCAATCACAAATTATTGGGGAAATTATATTTATCTTATTTATAAATTTCAAATTTAAAGCTGTGCTTTGATGTAAAAATGTAAATCTATTCAGTTAGAATGTATTTAAAAAAATATACAGATGTAATTCCTTTACATTCTATAGTGACTTCTGAATCAATATCTAAATAAAATATTTGATTCCCGCAGTTGTTCTAATAAACTTTTTATTGTCTTGTTTCGTATAACCTTGAGAAAATAACATTACTTATTTCTGGATATCATTTCTTCATGTTTACTTTCCTTCATCAAAGGACTATAGGCGTTCCTGTTTAAGATACAATTTATGTTCACCAAATCAGCCATTAATCACATTCTTCAACAGAAACACAAAATATTATTCAGAGTTAACAACGAAAAATTATCTGTATTTTTTCGGTTGTTCAGATTTAAGCAGAAATTTGAACACTCTCTTGTCTTTCTGTGGTAACTAAAAAAAGGAAATATCTGAATATTTTTATACCTATATTGTAGCTCTTCACAGTTTCGATCTGAGCTCAACACACTTACCTGGTAGTATATTGGGTACACTAAACATACACACAATTCTATTTATCAATATTTGATTATGTTAAGGACTATGGCTGAAAATAGAATAATGTATGAAATTATTTCAAAATGTTACTCTTCCAACAGTTTTTTTTTAGTAAATGTTGATACTTAGCTTAAACCAAGATTCATAATTTTCTTAATAGCCTTTAAAATTTTAATGATTGGCGTTGCTATCTTTACTAAAAAAGAAAAAGAAATTGAAATGCTTTCATTCAGATTGACGCTCCTCCCAAATTTTGGTTTGATTTCAATAAAACTTGATAGAATTCCTTTTGATGTAAAAATTTTAAAAAGAAATGTTCTTTTCTTTTCCACTATCATATAAGTACAAACCAGCAAAGCTACAGTCTTAACGTAGACAAATCTGGGATTTTCAAATATGAAGTATGTAGAATTTCGAAGCATAAACTGTTACGAGACCATTAGCACTACATGTAAACCTATATTATAAAAGCTTTCAACATGCTGATATGCAGTTTGGGGGGGGGGGGGGGGAGATAATGACGTGATTTGAAACAGGCGTTTGCATGATAATCTTTTGTATCAATTCTTAATTTTTAAAATTCAATTTGTTATTGTAACATATATCATGAATGTGTACATCTTCGTTCTTTTTAAAGACTAAATCATTGAAAAGTGTCTGTTGTCGTATCTATATTTTTTAAAACAAAAGTAAATAACAGATAGCCAGCCATCTTTTTATTACAATATTGAAAACGTGAAAAATGAATGATTCATTCCTGATAGAGAACCTGCAGAACACAATTTTTACGAGATCTTTCATGATGAAAATTGACAGCAAGATTAGCTCTATATGACGCCCTCTGACCGTCAGACTGAGGAGATATCGTCACATGTGTCTGTGCTTATATCCTGGGTGTAAACAGTGCAACTAATCAGTGTTCTAATGATATAAAGATGGGTCAAAACAAAAACATGTCAGTATAAATAGAGGTCAACAGTTTAAACAAGCATTTAAAAATTAACAAAGAAATACATGTCATAATTTCTTTTAAATGATACATAGTCAAATGTTTCATATGTATGTACTTGAACTTTAAAGATGTTTTTCTTAGAAAAATATACCAATAGTATCTGAATAGCTAAACAATTGCAATTTTCCTTGCTTGAGTTCACTACCTATATTCAATTTGTTTGGAATCCAAATTCATATTTTGTGTATTTGTTTTACATTATGACAAATATTTTTAAATACTATTTATGTCATAGCAATTTGATCATGAATCTTGATTTTTCTAGGTTATCCTTCATCTAAAAAATTAATTTCCGATAAATAATTCTTCATTTATTTGTACAAAATACTTATATGTTGTTATAATCAATTCATTTCTGGCCAGTTTATGTCATTTCCTTTTCAATATTAATTACTCATGTAGTGCAAGCATGACATAGAAATGTTTTATTCGTTTTTTTTAATTTCTTAATCTGTAATTTATGTACATAGGAATACCTCGATCCTTTTCGTGACAAAGACAGTAAAATAAGGTGCCTTCAGAATGCACACGATAAACGGAAAACCCAATAAACGCAAATCACGATAAACGCAACACACGATACAATAAACAGAAAACCTGATAGGATACGCGCACGATACGATAGGATACATGCACGACATGATAGGATACACACACGATAAGATAAAATAGGACACGACAGAATTACCAAGAATAACGTTGCGGGTACTGTACAACCCTATTTTTATGTCATTTAAGGACCCTCTATACACTAGAAGAAAATATTTTTTTGGACATTGAGAAAATTGTGGTGTGTAAAGGTGTAAATATTGGTCTTATCTATCATATTTTCAACATAGGGTGCCTTGAATTTGCCCCCAGGAAAAATGTTCAAAGACAATGAAGTACTGATGAACAGAAATTACTGTTGATTACTTCATTGGATAAAATACCTGCAAATGAAGTGTTTTATCTTTTCCTGTTGGCCTATTAAAGTGTTATGTATGCTTGATTTGATCACAAATTAAGTAATAAACTGTACATTCCAATTTACTTTATTCTTGATTAAAGGGCAGATCACTCTATCTGCATAAAAATACCGCAAAATCAGAACTCTTTAGTGTGCAGTGTATAGAGGGCTCTTAAAACTATAAAATTCCTAAAACAACATTACGTTTTCTTATATTATATGTCAGTTATCATTGATAAAAGTTCTTTTCATTAAATATTTTACTGATTCTGAATTTCTGTTAAGGATGTATTTGTGGCTTCTTTGTTTTATAATAAAAAAGGGGGGTCGGGAAGATCCTGGTGATGTTTCCGTGACAAAATTAGAGCCTTTCACTCTGAGAATAATTTTAATGATAAAAGAATTCGAACAGATATTCCTATATGTTTGTAGATTTTTTTAGCACGATCACTGCTCGTTATTTTCACCTTTTTTATTTATATGCAAAAATGTTGCCATGGATAAACAGAAACGGAAACAAGAGAGCTAAGTTTACAGACAAGTAAACACAAACTTTGTGATCAATCGTAAAATGCTTAATGCCTTACATTGACCTTTTCTGTGGAATGTAAGAGGTGATAATAACGAATAGTGATCAATCTCATAAATTCAGTGACCAAAAGGAATCATAAACAGGAAAATAACACAGATCCTGGAAAAAACAGAGGTTAGGAGAAGTAAGAATTCCCTACCGACCGGTCACACCTGCCGTGAACCCCATGTATTGATCAGGTAAAGTACTCTGTAGTCAATTTTAGTATAAAAGCAGGTATGAAACATGTCCGATAAAATACGACCCAGCGATAGGTTGTATTTACAAATAAGGTCATTATACATGTAATTTGCGAGAAGCTTGCTTTAAACGGGGTTGTTGAAATCCCTGTAACATCAACTTATTTGTCGAAGTATCTAATTGTTGTCTTGTAGGCCACAGCAAGATATTTCTTCTTCATGTGAAGGCTTTTTTATATAAATTCTGCTTCGTAGGAAAATAAAAATTTGGTCGGATAATAAAGAAGCACAATAAATGCTCATAGAAAATACAAAATGTTCGAAGACCTGGTGTCCAAAGACAACATAGATATTGTCAATGAGAAACTCCATCATTTTTTTAATATCAACTTTATAGTACTTTTGTGTAGAATCAGAATGATTTTAACAAACTATTTTTGTAGTTGACCAATCATAAGATATGAAAATTTGCTAGTTCCACTTTTTTTTGAGGAATTAGTTGTGCATGACATTGAAAAGCCTGCTCTTTAATTTATTGTCAGGATTGGTTTTATAAAGCAAAGAAAAGCCGATGTTTGAAACGTTTTGAGATATTACATTTTCCATAAAATTTTTATAATTTTTTTAGAGTCCATATTTAATTTGTACCCCTTCTTGAATATGCTGTAGCACAATATGCCTAAGAATGAGCCTTATGAACAAAGACAACATTGTTACAAGCTTCATTGCATTTCCTAGCACTTCCTAAGTTTAACCATAATCTTGTCAAGTATATTTCAATGATAACACGGATAAATTGATAATCTCAGAACACAAACAGCTTAAATGTTTCACTCTTTAAAAAAAATTACTTTCAAAGTCTGACGAAAAATGCTTTAGACATCGATCGCTTCCTTAGCAACTGGGCGATTTTTTGTGTTTACTTCGCAAATAGAAGAATTAGTTGTTGTTGTTTTTTTTATAATTCAGGCAATAACTATTCAATACCTCTTACGTAATTCGCATCTAAGATGTGTATTTTTTGTATACTTTTCACTTTTTATTTAATCAGAATATTTTAGATGAGATTACGTGCCTTGTAAAACATACCTGTATCTTATCAGATATAGAATTTTTATCAGACAATTGTTTTCTTCTAGATTGAATGCCCGTCTTTGATGTATCTAGATCATCTGGCTATAGGATGGATTTTTTCCTTGACACATCTTGATTATCTAAAAATAAAGCTGGCTAAAATCTTACATCTTTGTTATCTATAACCTTATGTACGCTTATTACATCAATTCATTATGAAGTGACTGTGACAAAAACCAATCGCCTTTCTTACAGTGGTTAACCAATGGTTTTCCTAAATTGCTTTCAAGGTCTGTTTCTAGTTTTCTATGAATACTAGTATATGTCTTCTTTATGCTACTGATAAAAATGTATTAACTCTCTCTCTCTCTCTCTCTCTCTCTCTCTCTCTCTCTCTCCAATTAATTTGAAGAATTCTTTCTGACGTTTTGGGCAAAATGAAGGATTTTTTTTTTAATGAAATGTTTCTTTTTTTTTTTTTTTTTTTTTTTTTTTTGGCAATCAGAGTCCGTTTAGTTGATTCAAATTTTGAGAATAAGAGGTATACGTATACCATAAAATTTGGGAAAAAAGTAAAGAAAGCAAAGCATTGAAATCAGTCAGAATATAACAAAATAACTGTTGAATGAGACTGTCATTTCTCATAACGGTAACAGCGTTATATACTGGTAACTACAGCCAGTAATCAGTTCAAAACTTTGTACTCGAGCTGCACCACATGACTCAGCAGCTTTAATGAGTTTTAAAGATTCCATTGTTTATACTTTCTCTAGACGCCAAGTGAACGACCGATGATTGAACATCAAAACAAATAAAATGGGGCATCTAACGTTTTGTCTCTATCTAAAAAGATTGTATAACTGACTGCATTGAAAAATTTACTCTTTTTCATTGCAATCCTTGTATAAATGAAATGTGAATATAAAGAACACTGATCTCTATTCTAATCCAATTAAATAATACAGATTGTGAGCAGAGCAAAGACAGACCGCTAAAAACAGAGGTGGGATCAGGTGCCACGGAGGAACAAGCATCCCCTTGTCGATCGGTCAAACCAGCCGTGAACCCCCTGTCACGATCGGACAAACGGAAAAATTTGTAGTCAATTCAGTGAAAATAATGGTATTATAATTTGTATAGAAGACGCTAGTCAATATTCGAGTTAACGATAGATTGTACAGCTCTAAAAACTTTTTAAACTAACTTGCATTTGTAAGCCAATTAAATGTATTTTTAAATTTAATTAGAATTAATTATTTAATTATTTTAATTTCAATTTAATTTAATTTGAAAATTACCAAATATATTGCAACTAAACAAAGGTGCAAACAAAAGATGTGTTTATTTTATGTTTAATTTTGATATTCATAATTGATAATTTTTAAATTACTCTGTTGTTCCCCTTTTTGAACGAATAACAGTCTTAATTCATTGAGGCATGTTTTAAAGAACTAAATTTTCACATTCTTTTTTTTTATATTTGAGCATTGTTCTCGCTAGAGTTACTTCAACATTTCTTTTAATTTATAAGTTGTTGTCAGTAAAATCCGGTCTTCTTTATATGACTTCAATTGTTTTATTTTGGTTGGAATCAGAACTGTTTCAAGACATCCGAAGTTTAGAAAACTCCATCTGAGAAATTCTTTTGTGCCTTTTTAGTTACGGCATGCTGCTATAAACTACATCCTCTCTGAAAAATACTAAACAAGTACACTAGCTACTTACATCTTTCAGTGTCTCCTGGGGAGCGCAAGAGAGCTTCTCAAAGGTGAAATTTTAAGGTGAAATTTTCGCTGGCACATAAGGAGACTTTATAAAAACACGCCAATGTCTAAAATAAGCATATGGAAGACACTTCAACGGGAGTGGTACTCAAATTCACAAACGTTCCGTAAAAATTTCATTTAAGACAAAACAAGTGGAATTAAGGTCATTTTTCGTGCAAAATGAGGAACAACTTACTACTACAAAAGAAATTTTTAATCAGGAATGTAAAAACTATGATAAAATGGCAAAATTCATCATATCTTTTGTTTGCACCATTGTTTTATAGAAATATATTTATTTTTAAAATGTTCATTTAATTAGTTTACAAAAACATTTTTAAAAAAAAAGTTTCTGAGCTGTATTTGCAAACAAGATAATTGTATCGACAATAGAATTTGAGAAATGGTGACCTTAAATGAGATTTTTGATATTATTATATCACCAACTTATTTATTAGTAGCCTGTCTTTTTTAGAAATTGAAATTGTTCGTAAGTTAAACATTTTTTATTGTGTGTGAATACACTGGGTGACATAAATCCCATATCCAGGTGATAATTATTTCAAGTTCAATAGGATATATCGAATCCACGTGGGAATGAAAATGAATAATCATTTGTTAAATAATAGAACGTCGTTGATATATCTAAATATTGAATTGAAGAATTGAAAGTCAAACCAATACTTCTTCTTTTGATGTAGAAGTTTTTGAATAATTTCTGCTTCATAAGAATACAAAAACACGTCTGCCAGTAGCGATGCACAATTAATATCCAAGAGAATTCCAACAGATTGTTGGAAGACTTGATCTCTAAAAATTACATGCATATATATTTTAAGTGAAAAACTCAAATATCATTTTAATATCAACATCAGAGTACTTGTGTGTAGAATCAGAAAACTTTTAACAAAATTTTTGCAGATGATCACTGACAAGGTATGTAAATTTATGTGTTCTTTTTTTATTGCAGAAGCAATTGTCTATGGTCCTTTTTTATCATGGAAAAAAATTATAAATTTTATTGGTCTAATACTTTGAAATATGAATATGAAAATTGAAGAATTTTTTATGATAGATTTAATTTATTACATATTAGCGAGAAAAATATTGCGTAATTTAACTTTATATTTAAAGAATTATTTACCTGTACCTGCTATTAATGCTAGATTTCGCTTAGAATATAGCTAACAGACGCCTGGAGTTTGTAAACAACACAGCCTCCTAATGTTTTTTTTTTTTCTTGAGAACTTACAGGGCAGTTAATTAATTACCAGACAAAATGATAACGTAGACAGACACAGCAAAATACTTGGTTTCAAATCTTGTTATAATCTTTTATTTTCAATGGTGATGGAGAATTATTAACAACATAAAAATATAAAAATCAATGACTCTAGGAGCTTGGCAAGTACAGAGTTTTCTGTAAAAAGGATAGTCTAATTACAATCTATAGAATTTTTTAAAACGGAAATCAAATGGACATTTCAAATCCATAAATCTTGCACACAAGATATAATTGCAGTAACTAGATGAAGGTATAAAAAAAAAATAGCATACTTGTTTTCACCTCAATAAATTTGTATTGATCGTCTTTCAAAGACGATTTATTGAAACGGAAAGATTTACTACTAAAGCTTTGTATTAATGATATCCTATTTAATCTTTCAGAAATATCGTTAAATGTCGTTAAACTTTATTTCCTATCAAAAAGATCAAATAAGAAAAATCAAACTGTAAATCATATACAGTACCAATTTTGATGCACCAGATGCGCATTTCGACAAATTCTGTCTCTTCAGTGATGTTCATCGATCAATCATTATAATGGGGATCTGTAGAAAACAATAAACAGATACGGACCTCTTCATCCTGTCTTCTCATGCTTAAATTAAAAATTCACTACAGAACAGGATTTGAAAATGAACTGTAAACATGTGATCTATTAGACAAATCTATTGTATGTGACAATTGCACAATTTTGCCGTACCTTATCAACAACAACCATTTTTTCATAACAAGGAATCACTATTTCGCACATACTTAAATTAATTTTATATGACCTTTATTTGTACTTTACTGATGATACTCTAATAATAGGGAGAGGGAAGTAGTCTGAAAAAAAAATAGTTGTACTGAAATAAAGGGATCACAATGGAAGGTGAGAATTTTCTAGGATACAAGTTGAAACAGTTTTCATTAATGTGTGTAAATCTAATTTTTTTCTATAAAAAAAGTATCAAATTCACAATTGACGGTTATGGAGTGGAATCTAAGAACCAAACTGAATATTCATCAAAAAAGTAAGCTACTAGTAGTCGGCACCATTAAGTTTCAATGGAAAAGGCTTTGGAAATAAAACATAACACTTTTACTATAATTAGTGTTGATACATGTATAAGGCACCAATTAGAAAGATATGTTTAGTTTTTAGAATTGAAATAAAGCTATTTTTGCACTTCAATTCTTAAACTTCAGTTCTTAACTTTACGGTGAAAATAAGTGCAAGTGCTTTTTTATTCTGGTTAACCAGATTTAATCATCTGGAGTGAGGGTGATTGATTTGTGGCATATAAGAAACAAACCTCGTCCTAGAGAAACGATTTTAAAGTGTTAAACACCAAACATCATCAAGGGATGATTGTTTCTTCATTCAGTAAACCCTATATGCTGTATTTTTAGAATGTATATTATGGGAGGATTTACCATTCTGCAAAAAAGTGAAAAGGGGACAGGTTTTCAGTGAACATTTTGACTCTAAATTAACAGTAAAATATTGTGTTTGGAAAAAAGGGCCCAGCCACCCTCAACTACACCCTCCCCCCCCCCACCCCACCCCACCCGATACTACGTGCCAGTGCAGTGTGTTTTGACTTGTAATAAGACATTGTTCAGGTATAATCTTGACATTCATATAAATATTCTGAAATGGTTGGCTACCTTTTGCGAGTGTACTGTAATATAATTTAACATAACCGTACATAAAACTTTTAAAAATTTAATCACTTGTATGTCACTGTGTGGTAAGGTATCATCTAGATGAGACCAGGCATCATTCACATCAACGCTGAAACAAATTTAGATATGGGTCATCAATGAAGGTCTGAAGTCACCATTCGAATCCTTAAAGAAATACGGACCTATCGCACCTAATGCACTAAGGGCTGCTTAGACCATTACTTTTTCTCCATGCATTGGCTTCTGAAGGGAAAAATTGGGCTTTTCTGTTCCCAAGAAGTGGTAGTTTCTATCACAAAAGCAATCAGATATAAGTGTGCTTCATCTGAAAACAAATGTTGGTGTTCTTGTATCCATCTTCTTGAGACTGCTTGCAATGTTCGATTGCTTAAGATGATGAGCGATTGATACAGTGTAAAGTGTCAATTCCAAGTCAAAAAGAAGCA